TGCCAAGTGCTCTTCCTCAAAATCCCCTTAAAAAAACCATTATTTTAATGCATCAAGTGTTTCAACAAGAAGTGATACGTAAAAGCGTACCTGAAGATGGATTTAATGACTTTATACTATTAACGCATCCTGTTATATGCATATGTAAACATAACAGACACTTGCAGGGTAGTATTCAGTCAAAAAGTAGAATTAATTTTGTTTACAACGGCAGTGTTTTGTTTAAGAATACATGATTGAATACCTCCAACAAAACAAACGAAAAATATAAAGTTTGTGTTTTGTTTAGTGTTGTTTAAATCGAATTTTGTTACTTAATTAGTGGTGCATTCGTTTGAAATGTTATGTCCTTTATCAGATATGTTTTGTTTTCAACTCTATCGTTTAAGTAAAATCCAATAGGTTATCGTGTTCTTCAATCACTTAGCGAGTGCATCTAACCTTGATGACTTCACAATAAATTATTATCTATTGCAGATGCATTTCGAGCTGTTTACGTGATAATTGCTCTAACTAGACAGCTGCAAAATTTATTAGAAAAAATGCAGTAAGTATCGCTAATTCAATCATTAACGTAAACAGCGCGTAATGCTCGTTTAAAGAAATGAACGAATTTACAATGCAAATTTTGAAAAATAGATTTATGTACACACCGGTAATTTCTATAAATATGTATTATGTAGCTTTATATCCGTTTACAGGTTTATATACGAGCGTACATAAAAAAAAAAGTTTTTGAACTAATGTTTTGTGTGACTTCTACAGGGCTGTATTTCGTTTATTTTAAGTCCGATTTAAAATTTGTCTAAATCATCGAAAAGGACACACTTTTAACTACAAAATGTGATTAGTACAGTCCCAAAACAAAATTACTAGTTCTGTTAAAAATGCCCACAAAGTTTTCAACTTTTTTTTTAATTTAGCAAAAGCAGACAACACTTTACAGGGTTGTATCTAGCTCATTTACCTATAAGATCGAACTTTTATTTTTTGAATGTTTTAAAAAGTTCCAACAAAATTTGCTTTCTACCTATTTCGCAAAAACAGGGCTGTAACTCGCTTATTTCAAGTCAGATCTAAAATCCATTTGGACCACCGAAAAGGACAAACTTTTATGCATTAAAGGACCTTTCAGAAGTTCCAAACTAAATTTTCCGACTTACCGAAACTTAATTAGTTGGAAAAAAGGTCCTGCAAATGTTCAACAATTTAAAAAATTTCTCATAACGAATACAACATTGTATTGTAACTACTTACTAGTACCAAGCACCTACTTATAAATAAAAAATGTTTCTTGACAATGAAGCATGAATTCAATTACCTAAACGTCGTCGTTAACTTCTACACTTAGCATAGGTGCCTACCCATAGAGTCTATTCGACCTTATTACCGAAAGTTATCGTCATATTTATTCATCGATGTATCTGTCGCGAAAAAAGTAGGTTATACAATACATACACGTTAAAAAATTCACCTATGTATGTTTGTATACTACGTATTCACTTGTTACATACAAACAAGCACCCGATCTAAAATATATTGTTTTTTTAATTCATTACGGAAAAAAAGATATAATTACTGGGTGGTAATTATGGAACATGATTAAAATATCTTACCTTTTCGAATCCATTTCCGAATTTTTACAATGAAAGGCATCACTTTTTACTTTATATATGTAAAATAACTGTCCAAAAAAGCTACGCAATTGTCTTTAGAAATAATTCACAAAATTGTCACCAAAATAAACGCGTATTGACAAAACAATTCCTCTCATTCGACTGAAACCCGTAAGTTTTTGCTAGAATTAGCGTGCGCCTACTAAAAACCCTGAATAATGACTTCTAAATTGATATATTACACACATACGTACATAAGCACATGTGTACAGTAACTGGTAAAGTTTAATCATTTAATCGTCCACATATCCTTAGGATAAGATAAATTAACATTTGTATTTTCTACCTAAGTCGATTGCAAATGTTTTTTTATTTACAGAAATAATCGCCAACAAAAAAATGAACTACACAACTCATTTATCGTCGTTTGTTTCACGAACTTATCACAATGTAATTGTTTTTTTTACGTTCCATTATTAGATCCCTAATCTTAAGGTACTTCATAAACGCGATAAATTGTTTAACGGACCCCGTAAAAAAATTGCAATAAAGTGCTTACGTGACGAATTGATCGTAATGCTCTGTACATAGTTTATTTTTCGTTAATTTCTACAACACCTAACGATAACGTTTTAAACCTAAAAAATTTAATAAAAATGCAAACAAGATAATTTATTAGATGTTCGATTACTGATTAAAAATGTATTGCACACATATTTACGAATGTATGGCAATTAATTATACAAAATAATTAGTAAAATTTTTAACTGTTATTTTGTTATTATACAAGAAATACGATAAAAAATTACTGGAAAAACAAAATGTAAATATTTATGTTATGATTAAACTAAACATTACAACCCTTTTTAATGATCTAATAGTTTTTAAAGTGTCGGGTACGCCCAAATTCCACCCAACGATTATTAATTTTTAAAATATCTAGCCAAATTATCTTACAGGAAGTTGACCACTAATTTATCTCATTTTACACGTTTAATCATTGATCAATAAACATGTAAACAATCTTTAAGAATTTATGGATTATACGATGTACCTATACTATTATCGTGAGCTTTTATCAATTTTCGAATTAATACCTATGTGTAATGTGTGATATAACAGAATTTTTAAACTCAGAACAAAAAATAAGTTCTTCATGGTGAACTCAAGTATGAATTATGTTGATCCTAAAATGAGGGTGCAAATCAGGTGCAACCTTTTCTTCGACCAATTGTAAATTTATTGAGCGTTATCAATTTATTATTACGATAAATATTTAAAGAGAATACTATTTCCCAATGGCATTTGCATGTTTATATCTACATACATAACATAAGTATATAAAATTCCAAACATCGCTGATAAACTTTGTACTTCATGTTGGAGTACATTTTTTCTGATAAAAAGCCCGTGTAATTTAACCGCACAGTCAAGCAGTCTAATGACAATTACGTCAAGTGCTAACTACACGTAAAAACATTAACAGATAAGCGAAATTCCAAGAAAATTTCAAAGAAACGCGAATTTCAATTTCTTTGAAGTTACTCCACCAAACAACAAAAACTGCGTAATTTTAATACATACTTCGTATAACACAGACAGCATATTTATGTTATCGAAATAAAAAGAAGGGCATCAAACAAATAAATGAGCTGTTTTAAAAACAAATGAATGATTAAACAAACAAAGCGTTGGCAATTGTTTCAACAGTTAAATACTACATTATTTACCTGTGCTATTAGGAGCCCTTTCTCGTCATGGGTGACTTTGGGAACCACTTTGGTCTAATTTCCTTACACAATCATTTTATAATAGTAACGAATGTCTATAACCGATCAAAAACAATACTAATTATGTATGAAAAATTCTTACTATGTACCTAAGTCGATAATACACACTGATTCATGTCAACGGCGACCAATCAAAAAACGTCACTTCAATCAGTGAAACTAGTACTATTCCCTACAACCCGTTCGAGGAGCAATGTACTATTGGGGAACGTAATGTAGGTAAGTATGACACGACCCCCTCGGAAAACTGATGAGTCGTTGAACGACTTTACACCCCCCCGAAAAAAACCGTTATAAAAACTCACCAATCCCGACACATTTCTACGCGAAAATAAAATAATAAAAAGCGAAATTCAGATTTGAAACCTTCAGGACTCCGTACGTTTTTACTTAAAGTCCTGACAGACTGTTCCATCGATTATTACAACGTCCGATATGGTCGCTAGGGTGCAGTAGTGAAAGATACCCAAGTCAGCGTTCCACCACCGCTATTATTCTTTTTTTTTTATAACATTATACAAGGACCATTCAAAAAAGTCCTACATATAATAATGTCTCTGTTTACGTCCCCAGAAGTCCCTGAACTATTTAAAACAAGGAATAACTTTTGTTTAAAGGCGTTTTTGGGTATTCGCTATTTTTGCCTAGGTGTTACGTATTGGGAAATGTTTTCGTTTTATTTCATAAAATCCTTTCGTATGTAAAGTGCGAGAAATTCTTTACGACCGCGTGGCTTTTAAGTTAAAGTTTATCGAAACATTTCCTGAATGCATTTCGGGCCTTTTTTATAGCGATAATGTTTAGATTCCAGTTGAAATAATTCCTCGAAATACATTAACGCTAAGTGGACCCCCAATAGATTTAAATCTAAATTTAGTGGATGTGTTGACGGTAGTTTACTAATATTATAATGGACGTTTTAGACGTTAGGATTATGATAATTTTAAAATGCGTAAACTACTTACGCACTTTGTCCTTAAAATAGACAAAGTTATTGTAAAAAAATAATGTTGCTGGAATAAATTAAATACATATAAAGAACACATACCGAGGCGGGATTTTCAGTCGGCGACACTAAACAATAATTTATTCAAACTTTAATTTAATATTTAAATTGTTAATCGTACTTAAAGCGTCACCTACAAACCAATAAACAAAGAGAAAATTAAAAATAAGTGGCGCGTGGCGTCCCCTATCGGCAACTGTAAACTTTACATATTGAGAAAGCGATAATTGTTGCAGTGTCCTTTTACACCTAATCAGGATAGAACCTATACCATCGGAGGAATTTTGCTATCTTCAAAATGGAGATTACAAACTGTACCTACTGTTTCTCTGATGCATTAAACACTTTGAACTGTCTAATTCCTGTTACATGCAGTGTGATAAAAGTAAACCTAGCACTAGTTCCTTCTTTTTCTAGATTACATTTTTTATATACATTGAACTACCTCTTGTAGTATATGTTCAATTTACTTTCTGTACAACCGCGCCATCTGTATTTCTATATCTAAATGTATCAGAATGACTAATTTTAGGTTATGAGAGATTATATTTGAAATGCAAATTAATTTTATTAATAATGAGTTTAATATTAATATAACTAAAAGAAAAACCTGTATAAAACTTTGGTTTATCAAAAATTAATATTAAATGAATGACAAAATGGACAGGAGTTTCTTGCTATTTCAACTTCTTATGATGAGGTGTGGTGGTTTTGTTTACTCCGAAAATCACTGAAAAAATATATCTGCTGCTAGTATATCATCTCTTATATCGTCTCCAACACCCCCAACAAATTTTTCAATTGTATTTTGTAATATTAATCTCTCGGAACGTTCTTCTGCTATCTGGTTGGTAAGAGTTATTATGTTGTCTCTCAAGTCTTCAATCTGCTTTTTAAGATCGTCTGTAGTTGCCAAAAGGTCCTGAATATTCTGATTTTCGTCTGTGATTAGTGCAATATCTCTTTTTTTACTATTTACGCTTTGATCTACAACTTCTGTTTGCGATGGTATAGTGTTATCAGTTAGATCTGCAATTGAATAATCTAGACTTGTCGATTCACAAAGATTTGTAAGTTCAGATATTGATAGTGCCGCTATATTGTCTTCGTTCCAAGTGTCGCTACACATTTCTGCAATTTCTAAGTTTATTTTATCAGAAAAGCTTGCTTTTGTAGGTTTAGCACTATTTTCAGGTATCACTGTTGTATTTTTATTATTAGGACCTTTTTTCATTAACGAAATTTGTTTCCAACGATACAAAGCGGTTTTAATCGATTCATAAGGACAAAGTTGTGCAGCTCCCGGAAATCTAGCGTCAAATTATGTTAACATTCTGTTTACAATTATTCCTATTTTCATTTACGTACCTCAGTGACACGTCTTCATAAATATCTTTGTATGACCCAAAGCCTTTACAAACCTCTGCTCTTAAGGCCCTCTTGAACTCGCTCTTTAAATCTAAATTATGATTATGCTTGTCATACATTAATATAATTTCTCCATTTGTATCATTCAGTGGCATTTTAGCAGACGCTTTACACCCTGTTTTATTGTAAAATGTGCATCGTAAGTATCTAAAATTGCAAATGTTCTTTTTAACTAACACTTTAAACTCTCTTCTTGATATAAAAACCTTGTATTGGCCCTTGCACTGATCCTACGAGTGTGAAAGGCATTCCCATTAGCATAGACAATTTTATTAGGTCTTCTTTTACGTTCCATTAAAACCCTTTTATATCATAATTAATTGTGAGATTACAATGCAATTCAACTTGTAATACTTTAGCTACACTAAATTTCTTCAAATGTCTTTTCAAACTGAACAAAAAATAATTTATTCGGGTCAAAAGTTAAAGCGATTAAAGACCTTGGAAAAGTAAAGGCATTGTGTGGAAATTAAATTATTCCATTTAAAGAAAGAGGCTTTTTAATGCAATTTGAAACACTTTTTAAAAATAACACGCACCATGAAAACACCTCTATTTTAATTATTATTAAAACACTACACACACACGCACGCACAAATCGAAAATAATAGGAAACAAGTAAAGCAAACTGTATTAAAAATAATGTTTATTTTAAATAATAACTATTTTAATAGAAATCTTCATCAGCAGTAGCAGTAGATTCGGTCTGATTTTTAATTTGATCTTGGTTATTATACATTTCCGCGACTTGATCAGCCGATGTGGCCTCCTCGACGGTTTTATCGTCACGAATCCGAATGAAACGGGGGAACCGCAAAGATATGCCCCTTTCAGGATCAACCTGAACAGATACACTCTTAGGATTAAAAACAACACCATGTTTGTTCAACTTTAGGGGGGCGCAAAATGAATACTCGCTTTCAATAGTAATTCATAAAATACTGGACCAAGCATTCTGTGTTATATGTTTTGTGGGTTTTGGGGAATTCTCCTTAACTAAATAAATTGTTAAAATTACTTACAATTCCAATTGCTGCCCTGTGAACTGGAGACAAGCTGAGGTCTGCACATTTCACTTCCCACACCTGGACGACGTCAAACCAGTGATCAGGCTCTATATTCGGATCAAACCTGTAGTATTGCTTGGGTTTCTCTATTATGTGCTTCTTCAAAAATTCGGTATGAGTTTGGAGCACTTCATCAGAGAATCCTGTTCCAATCTAAATAAAATTAACACAAAACTATGACTACCCATTTAAGTCAAGAAAATAATAAAATAAATAAATAATCAAATAAGTAATTGTGTTAATTAATTTAAAATTAATTACTTTACAGATGCTCTGATATTCTTCGTTCTCCTTGTCGTAGCAGGCAAGTAAGAAGCCCCCGTAGGTTCCCGTTCGTTTTCCTTTTCCCAAGTAACCTCCAATAACCACAACATCTAGGGTGTCGCCCACCCCTTCGAGGTAGTCTTTTTTCAACTTTAACCAATTGTGAGATCGTTTTGCGATTTCGTACGTAGCTTCTTCTTCGACCGTTTTAATCATAAGTCCTTCGCATTTGCCTACGAGAAAAGAACAATTAAGTTTTTTTTTAATTACCTATCCGAAACTTTTTCAGGAAGCTGCTTACCTTTTACGCTCTCCTCCAGAAAGTCTTGAATTTCTTCGATAACAGTAGTGTCGAGGTTCTTCGCAAAGTGGAACTGACCCTCGACCTCTTTAAAGTTATCTCGAAGAATTGTTCGCCTTTTGATAAAAGGTTCGCGAACGAGAGGGGCCCCATTGAAATATAACAAGTCGAACATAAAGAGACACACCTGCACTTTGATATTTTCCTCTACAGCGTCCTAAACAAATTAAAAATATATAATCAAAACATAAATTAATTAATCTATTAATTATCGTTTACTTTTCTTTTTCTGGTGCTGAGAATTTGGAATGGTAAAATAGTTTTATTTGCTGTATCCCAAGCAACAACTTCACAGTCCAGAATAAAGCTCTTGACATTCTCGCCTTTAATGGTCTCCAATCGCGACACGATATCAGGATACTTTGTTGTGTTATTTTCCTGGTTTCTGCTGTATATAAAGACGTCTCCGTTGTCGGAGAGATGTACCTGAGCCCTCTCACCGTCGTATTTCCATTCGCAAGTGAATTTCAAACCCTCGAACCGTTTTAATACCTCGTGAACTCCTTTTGTTGGAAACGCTAACATGGGTTTCAATGGAACGCTGGGGGTTAGCTTGCATTTTTCTGGCAGCTTTTCTATTCCTTCTTGTAGGATAACTGGTATGATTTTTTCATAATTAGGACACTCACAATAAGTGGTCTTTAATATAAGAGCCAATTCGTCGTATTTTTCTTTGAAATTTGACTTGTTTGAGAGATCCAGACGTTCAGGGGGATATGATTGATGTGGGGGTGTTGTTGCACATGCTAGAGCCAAAGCCTGCAGGACTGACTGTTCGGCGAGCCCGATCCTTAATTTGCCAGCCAAAGAACGTATTAAAAAACGAGCTTCAGAATGTTTACAAGAGATAAACATCGATTTGATTTTATCAATTTTCTTTCCTTGCGACGTTTGTCCAGTCATTTTGGCGATCTCTTTCAGATTTGCAAAGACTTGTCTGATTGTTAGAGGCGCCGGTTGATGAAGCATTCTTTGATTGGTCTTAGACTGTTCAGCTACAAGTCCTAAATCGCCTACTTTTTGGGCATCTGCTTTTATTTGTGCAACAGTTCGACCAGTTGATTGAGCAATTGCTTTAATTAAACTAGTCTCAGCTATACCCAATTCCAAATTTTCATAAGCAGGAGCAATTCTGTTTAAACATAGATAAAGGCTGGGCAAAAGGTCTTCAGGACTTAGGACGATTATTGAGCGAAAGAAATTACTCAGAATCTCAATTATCTTTAATCTTGCCGATATATTTTCAATTTCTTCTAAAGTTCTTGCAAGCGCCAGGTATGGGACCTTTTCTCCGTATTTCCAAGTTGCGTCGTTAATAGGATGGTATTTGGACTTGGAAGGGTTGTATGATATTCCATCTTTTTCTGTTTTACTCTCTGCATCTTTTTCATTTTTGTTCAACCCTATTATTACACAATAATGTTAGTAAAAGTGTATTACACAACATACACATACAAATATGAGTTAGTAGAATTAATAAATGTCGTTTATCTATTTTTACTATATATTATTAGATAGCTTACCCATCATAAAAACTTCAGTTTTCTGTTTTTTACTTGTGTTCCCATCCTTATTGCTATTAACTGTTTCGTCTATTTCGTTTTCTTTTTCATCAGTATTGGGTTTTGACTTTTCAGATGTTTCACTATTAGTTCCGTTTATGTTATTATTTTTTTTATTTAGTTTTTCAACTGTGCCACTTTCTTCTTCACTAGATTCTGAATCAATCACTGCAATTCTTTTCCTTTTACTGCCTACAGTTTTTAATTTATCTTCGACATTTGTACCATCACTCCTACTTGTAGCTGCTTCATTACCTTCGATGTTGGTCTTTTTGCTTTTGACTGATTTTGAAGTTTCTTTCTCGGTTTCGTTTTCCTTCCTATGACAAACAAACACTGCAATAGTACACATTTCAGCTCCATAACTTCAAAGAAGTAATTATGGACTATGAAACAGAAGCAATTTGGTCTTAAGTGTTGCCTCTGCTCACCTACTTTTTACTCCTATACCAGTTTGGTCCAAAAATACCAGCCTTGTCTTTAAAGTATTCAATTTATTATTACTGATATATCTTGTAAACATAGTGTTAAATCGATTGGCAAAAATACGTAAGGAAAACATTTTATTAAATTACATACCCACTGTCTTTCTTGTTTTCGTTATCAGCCGATTTACGGGTGAAAAATGACCTTAAAATAAAAAAACAAATATTACATGAGATAGATTTAAATGGGCAGTATTTTCACAGTATTTTACTCAGAATTTAACTTACGTTATGGCAGGTTGAAACATTTTTTTAACTTTTTAAGTTAAGAATTATCTACAAGTAAAGAAAAATAATTATAAAACACCCATTTGTGCAATTTTCCCGCAAAGTTTACCATATTTTAACGGTTTCTTGACGTTTAAGTAAACATAACCACACTTATATCTATTCCATAGAGCTATTCCTTTTGCAGGTGTCTAAATGCCCAATAGAATCCGTGGCTTTGTAACCAACAACATCAATAAATAACTTATTTAAATTACGAACAAGAAATAATGCAATACTATAAAATAAAATTGCATACGTGTTTTAAAACCGATAATGATTATATTTGAAAAAGAAATTGTTTTTATTTAATAAATGTGAATGTTTTCATTTTGACAACTGATCTACGTTAATAGATCAGTTAGTTGAACGCTTACATGTTGTTTTCGAACTTATAATTTGACATCACATAGATTGACAGGGCTATTAAAAAGGAAAGATAATTTTTTACTGGCAAGATTTGTTATTTCTTTTATAAAAGATTTAATAAGAAGTAATACCACAGCAAGAGAACATTTGTAAGGCATTTATTCATTTTAAGATAATATATGAAACTAGAGCATTATGAAGAAACATTAACCAGTTGGAAGATATGGCTGCGACGAGAAAATTACAAGGTACGTGAATAGTACTTTTCTTGAGAGTTTTTGACTAATTTTGATTTATCCATAACAATTTTGTGACAATTTATATTCATAAACCTTTGTCTGTGCTATAGTTAAGTGGCTTTTAGGCGAAATTGATAGGTGTTTAAAAAAAGTTACTGAGGGAGTAGAAACCTTCGAAGATATTTGGCAAAAAGTACACAATGCTACAAATAATAACCAAAAGGAGAAATATGAGGCCGACCTTAAAAAGGAAATTAAAAAATTACAAAGACTTCGAGACCAGATTAAAAGTTGGATTGCCTCTGGGGAGATCAAAGACAAAAGCACCCTAATGGATTACAGAAAACTTATAGAAACGGTAAATTACATCACATTGGCACTTTTATAAAGTCTTTGTAGTATTTGAATAGCCTGTATTATTTTCTTTTTCATGTTTTTTGAACTGAGGACATTTTAGTTTGTATTTCAAAGTGCTTTATCTTTCTTACAATTTAGGTCAATTGTAGTTGTGTATTTATGCCACCTTATGATCTTTTAATTTAGCACTTCATTTAAATGATACAACTAAAGTGTTTTCAAATTGTTTAAAAATTATATTTGACCCTAACCTAAAAAAATATTCAATTTACTATGTAAACAATAATACACAATTTTTTATTTAATGTAGCAAATGGAGAGGTTTAAAGTGGTAGAAAGGGAAACAAAAACAAAAGCATATTCAAAAGAAGGGCTGGGAGCTGCTCAAAAACTGGACCCTGCTCAAAAAGAACGTGAAGAAATATCAAATTGGTTAGTGATGTGCATAGACCAGTTGAATATTCAGGTAAATTCGTCACATTAAATTATTCAGCTTTGCCTTTATAAGTGGATTTAATTGTCCTACAGATTGATTCATTTGAGTGTGAAATTGAGTCACTTCTGGCAAATAAAAAGAAAAAACTCGATAAAGACAAACAGGAGAGGATGGATGAACTCAAAGCCAAACTGGAGAAGCATCGGTTTCACATACGTAAACTAGAAACTCTTCTAAGAATGCTGGATAACATGTCAGTTGAAGTTTCACAGGTAAAAATGGCAATGTGTGTTAAATAAATGCAAATTTTCATAGTCTGAATCTGTCCCCAGATAAAGCAGATAAAAGATGACGTAGAGTATTATGTGGATTCGTCGCAGGATCCCGATTTCGAAGAGAATGTGTACCTGTACGACGACATAATTGGTTTAGATGAAGTCGAGCTCTCTGGCGTAGGACTGCCCTCGTCTGCGACGACGGACAGTAACGAAACGGGCGGAACGCCAACCTCCACGATTTCAGGATCGTCTCCTATTGCGTCTCCATCACTCAGCAACCCCCCGTATAACCATTCCAGCGACAGTTCTAACGAAGACAAGAAAAATCAGTACAAGGAGGCACCAAAGGTCTGTGTCAGCACAGTCAATGCAACCTAACTCCATCTTTTATTCTGTTTTTTACAATTCAGCCGGTGAAACCGATGGCAGTACGGGCGGCATCTTCAACGATAACCGCGACATGTAACTTGAACAGTAGCAGCAACTCGACACTCAGTTCAAGCGGGAACAGCACGACGTCGACACCGAACAGTAAAACGACGCTTCACACCAGCGTCGCCGTCCCGAATAGCAAAAACCCATTAAGAGAAAACTCACCGATACTCCAACAACCGCAACAACAACTGCAGCAGCTGCAACAACAAAACGTTGCCCCCGTTACCGTAGCACCAAGTAACACAGGAGGAGGTAGCGGTGGAAGCACGACAGGAAACTTTGCCGCCATCGCAGCCGCCGGAAGCAATGCAAACTTGTCAAAAATCAACACAAGTATGTCGTCTGTCGTGTTTTTTCAAAAGTATAAAATTTGATCGATTTTTTAGGCAGTACGACAGATAGTGTTCAATCAACTGTGATAACCAGCAGTAACAGCATTAGCCAAACGAGTACGATATCAGCTCCGTCGATATCGCCCGCCATGACCACCGTGATCCATCACGCCCCCCTCGCGTCGATAGCAACGTCGAATCCACCCAGCGGACACGTAAGTTATCATTTCTTTTTCTTCAGTTTAAATAAAACAGTATTTTAATCGTAAGTCTCGTTCCAGGTTCAAACAGTAGTGGTAAATAGTACGCAAAAACAGCCAAATACGTTCACGGAGCACAATAACCAAAATAGCGTGAGTCCAGTATCTAGCGTTTCGAGCAGGACGTCGCCCCTCTCCAATTCGGACTGTAACGTTCAAATAACGACGGGGGGTCAACCAGTCCTAAACGGCCCTCTCATCGCTGAAAACAAGGTATTAAATCGCTCACCTTTTTGGTCTTTTTTGTTATTTTTACTGTCTTTAGGTAACAGATGGAATGTCCACCCTTAAAACGATAGCACAACAGGTAATAGATCGTGCTGGTTTGGACGGGAGCAGCAGTAATGGAAATAATACGTCGGTCGTGTTGGATGCTAGCAAACAAACAAGTGTGGGAGGTGGGGGAGTAGTAACGAACGCGAGTGCGGGAAAATCGGAAGCGCACATCCCTCCACTGCTGGGTGTAGCTCCCCTCGGGGCTGTGCCTTTACAGAAAGAGCACCAACAACAGTTTCAAATGATGGAAAGTGCGTACTATCACATGCCCCACCCGTCCGATTCAGAACGAACGAGAACATATTTGCCTCGCAATCCTATCCATACACCCCCGTACTACATACAGCAGCCTCTGCCTCATTCCGACACTTTGGAGTTTTATCAGCGATTGGCGACCGAAACGTTATTCTTCGTATTCTATTACATGGAAGGAACAAAGGCGCAGTATCTTGCGGCCAAGGCGCTCAAAAAACAAAGTTGGAGGTTTCATACGAAGTATATGATGTGGTTTCAGAGGCATGAAGAACCCAAAATTATCAACGAAGAATACGAACAGGTGAGTTTTAATAGACAAGAGAACGCTCATGTATAAATAAAATAATTGTTATTTATTACCAGGGGACATACATTTATTTCGACTATGAAAAATGGGGCCAACGAAAGAAGGAAGGGTTCACATTCGAGTACAAGTACTTAGAAGATCGAGACCTGAACTGATGAAAGCATTTTAAAAATGTTTCTAATATATAAGTGATAAAAACAATTTGTAATTTAAATAATAATAATGTTACTAAATTAAATTAATAGATTGACAGGGCTATTAAAAAGGAAAGATAATTTTTTACTGGCAAGATTTGTTATTTCTTTTATAAAAGATTTAATAAGAAGTAATACCACAGCAAGAGAACATTTGTAAGGCATTTATTNCATCATAATATATACTTTACAGACATCAATATTTAAAATACATTTTTTACAACCTACACTTGGAAGATAGATAATATAATAATTAATGATTAATTATTATAGTTATAACGAATTGTCGAGGTTATCAATGTTTGGAAAAAGTCTCTAATTTAGTGTTAAAGTAATAATAATAATAATAATAACAACTGGCAGATTTGTTGTCAATTATTACGTTTTGTATTACTAAAATACAAAAAAAAAGAAATGTTCTCTTTTGCTCGCGATACGAATCAAAGCTTTATTAATATTTAATCAAAGTCTCAGATAATTCTTAACACTTACACAGCGCCTATATGTATACTGACACGCAATAATACTTTTAATAAATGAAAAGAATCAGTCTATAAATTGAAAGATAAATTCGTTTTTTGTAAAACTCAATCCTCTAAACGGTGTGTTAATACATGATAAATGAAATTAGATGATAACGATAAGTGGAACTCAAAATAAGCACCTCTTTTATATAATAAATAGAATTTTGGGAACGGGACAAAGATGATGCAATATATAATTTGTACGTGCTATTTTCTAATTTAAAAATAAATCAAAACGCAAACTTCTTCCAATTCCAATTAAAAATTAAACAATCCAAAAATAAAAAAAACCTCGCTTCAAAAATCACGAAATTAAAAAGTAATGATAAATGTCTCGTACCTACTTGTTTTTTTGTCAACTTATGACTTTTGTTTTGGATCACAGATGGTAAAACGTGAAGACAGCTCAGCCCTGCTGCTGTTTCATGGTTCCACTCAAATCCTGCAAGTAACAGTAGAGAATCCCCGCTTGGGCCATTACATCAACTGTTCCGGTGGCCAAAAGATCCCTCTGTTTACTATTATCCACTTTACCACCAGGCCTCAAAAGGGTGGGACCGAAAACCGTTGCCAAATTGTGAAGGGACATTTTGTTTTCATCTTCATGTCGATTCACCCTAAAAAAGAATAGAATTAATTGGTCAAATAATGAAAATATTTTATTATATTTATTTGTAGAATTAAGAGCATGTCAAACAATATTATACTTATTTACTAGTTCTTCCCCCATATAAGTCACTGTTAGCTCGAAATTCACTTTTGTGAACAATCACTTTGTGTTAAAAATTAAAAGAAATTGTTTGTAAACAGGTATGCAACACATCGTACATTTCAGTATAAGAATTGCTGACACTAACTACATTATTAAAACACTACACACACACGCACGCACAAATCGAAAATAATAGGAAACAAGTAAAGCAAACTGTATTAAAAATAATGTTTATTTTAAATANAAAATTTCGTACAAGTGTATTTACACAAATTTCAAATTTTTAATATAAAGTCAGATTATAAGACCACTGATTTTTGATGAATCGGTATAGCTATCGATACCCGAGAGAATTCTATAAGACAAATTGCACAAACGGTATGAAGCTGCCCCACCTTCCCCTACCGTCTTTACCATAACAAGGCACGTGCCCAGAGCCGTTGTCCTCACGAGGGCCTCGGAAGGCCGATATTATTTGCTTAAGTTATTATTTTTTTCCGAATGCAGAATGCACCCTAATTAATTACATTACAATATCATCTAGCGATCACCTACACAAACCACTTCGATTCCAAAGTCGATTTTACGTATACCTATAACGTTTACTCATCAAAACAGATGTCGATATTGTCTATGGCTGGAGAATCCCCAAATGATGTGTGAAACTTCAAGTCGTGCAAAGTGGCGTGACTTAGTTTTGTTAATAAAAACTAGTTCTTCCCTCTATCAGTCACTGTGAGCTCAAAACGGTCAGCACCATTGCTTAGAGTGGTCGAAATTTACTTTTGTGAATAATTTGTTTGATCGCTTTCTTTGTGCTAAAAATTCAGCATAAGAAATTGCTGATACTAACTACGTAATACTACTTTGCCCTGTACTGACAGCACTCATAATTTCTTTTATATATAATATTTGCTTACCTTATCAGATGTTCTAAAATAAATTGAATCGTTGCTTTGTTTTGGTGTGGCAGTTTTCCAAAGCAATTCTTCAACAATTCCATTCTCCTTATCAAATTTCCACCGCTCTGATTGAATGCTTCCAAAAGAATGGGATACAGTTGATCAGTGAACAAAGCTTCCGGCAATTCCCTCAGATAAAGTCGCAGGATTCCCGTTACGGAATGAATATCCACTTCTTTTAACAACTGCTCTGCTTCGTAGGAGTCTGAACAAAGAAACGTATGTAAATTAGTTCACCAAAATATTAAGACTATTTGAAAACTAATTACTCGTTTCAAAAGATTTCTTTAGCTTGGAAATGTCAGATGCGGACCCGGAAACCCGATAAATTCCCACCTCGCTCATGCCACGCCTCTCAACTTCTCTTATCGTCGCCGAAACAATGAACGGAATGTCTCGCTTTTGCCTTCTAATAAACAAATACGTGAAATTGTCAACACAATTATTCTCATTTTTAAATAAAAAGTAACGTACTTGCAAACGTTTTGTATCTTCTCTCCAAAGAGGCTCCCGGCTTTGCCCGTGGGCACCCTCCGCAAACTGACTTCGCAAGGCACAAACTTTAACCCGATTCGTAACGTACAGTTGTTGATTTGCAGGCTCTTTTCGATTGTATTTTGGCCGAGCCACTGGCGGCTTAATTTTTGCATATGCTTGCCAAAAAGAGCGACGTGAGATTCGGTTTCGCGATAGACGAGGATTCGGAGGTTTTCGCAGCCCTCCAGGTCAATAACGAAAGTCTCGTTCCAAACAGGAGCGTTTGTATTACACACAAGCTTTGTCTTCGCTTTGCGAAAGAAGTGACCATAAAAATCAACTTCAACACAAACGTACATACCTGTAAATTACAATATGACACAACATCTTGACGTGTAAAATCATAATTTTGCTTACCAACACTGTAGTCAAGTCCTTGAAGATCTTTTATAGTAATATGAAGGTCACCTACTAGAAGACTTTCGTCGTGTCCACTCCTGAGAAGATAAGAACCCATATTGGTCTTAAGGAAGGTTCTGCAGGCGGTGATCCAGGTCTGCAATTCGAACATGCTGACGTTATTGGTGGGCGTGGGTGGTTTACTGGTCTTTTGTAGCGTCTGAATGGCCTCGATCCATTGGGTTCTCTCGAATTCCGAAGACAGGTAGAACGTGAAGGTCTTTTGACTTTGACGGTGCTTAATGCGGAAGGCCAAGTTGGGAGAGACGAGCACCAGCTGGCTTTCCAGTTCCAAAAGTCTTTTACGGTATTTTTCAGAACCACGCCCCAAACGTATTTTCTATAACGTTTTTTCCATTAATTGATAAATAAAAAATAATATTAAAAACAACCTTGTCTTCATTAAGTTTTTCTTCTTGCCTTAATTGGTCCCTGACATTGGAAGCTTGCGATTTTAATGATACGATATTAGAGGGCGACACGTCGTGTAAACTAGACGAAGGCTCCTCTAAAATGTGGATGTCTTCGACCCTGATAAACCATTTCAGTTCAAAAGTGTACTTTTCATTTCGCCCAGTTGACTAAACAATAAAAAATATAATAATCAGAGGCATTAAATGACTTAAAGTTTATACTTACTTTGTACTTGGCACAGGCTATCACGTCATTGAAAAGGAACAAATGCCTAAGCTTCCTGTTATTTTCGACCTGTTCTACAATGAAGGAGTTTTTGACTAGACGCCTCTGAGCTCTGTCAGACGCCTTAACAGAAAAAAAGAAATAAGGTCAAACAGGTTCCAGTATTTATGAAATGATTTAACTTACAGGAAACATTGATTTGGTCTGGATCATGTTAAATTGATCAAGGAAGGTTTGCGTGAGTTGTAGTGCCTCAGAAAGGCTGCGATGTTCCGGATGTGTGGTGGGCGTATATTTGAGGAGATCGTGTAGCACAAGGGCGTTCTTCTGGACGCGTGCGACAGGCTTGTGAAGGAGATTTTCCAAAGACACCGATTGTTCGGACAAATTTTTGCATGTAATGCTTTTGGTAACTTCGGCAAACTGCGAATTTGAGGCACTGCATTTTCGAACTGTGTCCACTGCTCGACCATAGTTACTTAAAAAGGCACCGTATAGTGGAAGATTTAAGGCCTATAGGAAAAAGAGACTATTTTGTTTAGTCTATTATTTATCATATAAATTTTTAGCATGTTTCTACACAATCATTAGCGTATTAAAGTGAAACCAATTAACATTAACTTTTTACCATATAATAGAAACTCTCTCCGATCTTGCTGTCCCACTGTTGAGTGTGTTTCTTGAGATTGTCTAGGAAATTGGAATGGAGCAAGTGCAAGTCTGTGATCTTGTAGAATATCGTTCGAAATTCGGCATCGGTTAAGACTGGATGCGACGTGCCCAACGTTGCTTTTATTGCTTTCATATACTAAATCAGATAATAAACAATATTGCCTTTTATGACTAATAAAATGCTATTATAATAGATCACCTGTAACATAACATTCAACCATTCTACATAGTTTGTTTCACTTTCAATAATATTGGACAATATGCATCTGTACATGGTCAGTCGTTCTGCTTCCACTTTAGTATCTCCTTCCTAATTTATAAAAAGAATATTAATTATGTAATTAGTGGATAATTTGTATACCATGCAATACCTGTTTGAATTTTCTACTGCTTGATGGTGTTGCGGAAGACTCCAAAGAACTAGAACTGGCATAAGATCCGTCTTCGCTCCTTCTAAGTTCTGGCACTTCCTCTTCATCACTACTACTGTGGTCTTCTGTACCATTTCGTTTCCTAAACAACATAAATGAGTTACTTCCTTTTAAAAAAATAATTTCTATTTCTAATAAGAGTTCTTACTTAATAAAATACTCAATATTGACATAATTAGAGGTTGTTCCAGGTGACTGAGGTTCAAGTGATTCATTATCAGTTGTGGTCTTTTTAGCAGGCAGTTGTAATGTACTTGAAGATGTGAACACATTCTCATTACTAGACTCTTTCTCACCTATAACAGGCCCAAAGGGGTAATATAAAAAAATAAAAACAAATTAAAGATATGTTTCACTTACTTAAAGATAAATCATCAGCTTCTGCTGCTACAGAATCATAAAAATGTTCATCAGAATATGGCAGTTGCTCAGTAGAAGAAAGCAAGGATTCACTGCTACTTGCCCTCCCAAGGCTACTACTTTGATCTTTGTTAGATGACCGTAAACGTGGCTTAACAGGAAGCCTGAGGGTATTAAAAGCATTAGTTATAATCTAATTTTAATTAACCCATTTATGCTACTTCTTACAATTTAATCTCCACACCTTTTACCCTAATGAATACAAACACAAAAAGACAACTTACTTTGGGGGCACTTTTACTGGGGGCGGATTGGTTTCTGCTTTAAGTCCATTAACTTCAATAACTGTTACAAAACTACTAGGATCTGCAGTATCATTATTAGATTGCACCAAATGATTCTTTTCATTTTCACTTTCTTCTTTCAAAAGGGCAGACAATTCAGTTACACACTTATTTACAGAATTATTATCTATTTTTACATCATGTTCAAAAGGAGGAGCTGTCGGTTTAAGGCTTTCATTCTACAAAAATTTATTATTTAATCAATTAAATTTAATTAGCACTTGAATTTGAACGAGACGAACATCAACGTTGTGTTTGTGTACGTCATCGAGAGAATTAAATGGAAATTATACTCCTGATAAGGAAAATGAATGATTAATATTTACCTTAGATAGATTATCACTAATGACTTGACTATCTTCATTGCATTTTTCGTTTCCATTTCTTCCTATTGCCAACTTCTTTTTATGCTCTTCCACATCGTGCAGCAACCTTTCAAGATATTCCACATAAAATTCTTCCTTTTCAAGTTCCTCCTTGAGAAGAGAAACTTTTTGTTTATGTTTAGCAAGATTCGCTCTTACATCTTCTTCCCAAGCTGCAGGTAACGAACTTTGTGGAAATCTTTGTGACCAGACTTGTTGGAAATCACCAAAAACACTCATACTTTTAACTATTACATTACTTTGCAGTATAATTACAAAGGAAAACCATTTGAAAATTATTTTCAATAAAAAAACTCGGATCACATCACATTTTGACAGTCAGTCTTGGTGGTCGCCTACTGTTGTCATGTTAGAAAACTACAATACCAATACCCCGTCGATAATATGAAATATAAAGAAATTGACAATTATTAAGCTTCTCATCAATAATTTATACAAGTAAAGCTTTGTTTGGGGTGTAACTGTAATTTAAGCAAAAACTAAATGTGTATAGCTGCAATTAGAAAGATTTCATTTTGACAAATTGCATGAAGCTTCCGTTAGATGTCGCACTATGCATCAAATAGCCTTATTAATATACCAGGTCGGTTCAGATAGTTGTATTGCCGTTTACGAGGTAACATCAGAAAATATAATAAAACAGTAACTTCAATCTCGATAAATTACTTTATTTACATCATTTCATTGAAATACGATCAATTAAACAATACGTTCCATTTCGGCTAGAGAATAATGGCATACAAATAAGTACAAAAATCGAGGGGAAGGGAGAATGGGCTAAAAAAATGTGGTTTTTGTCAACCGATCATAAAATACAATTACATTACCATTAATTATTTTACATATTACGATTTTTCGTTAATAATTTGAACATACTTTTAAAGGCAGTACATATATATATAAAAACGGGAAATCTGTACACATTACATTAGTTTATACGACTTCAACAATACAAACCAACTATTAAAAACAATCGTTTTAATATTCATGGAAGAAAAAAAAAACGCATGACAATAACAACAAACTAATTAAAAGTAAAAAAAAAAAACATTTTCTATGATTTGTTTTTTGGCAGGTGAAGCCTGACCGTATCGCTTCCATAATTACATTAGCACAAGATTTTTTATTCATTATACAAAACCAGCTGCAGAAATATTATAGTTATTGCATCTTTTAAATTCTTAATCATTTCTTTTAAACTTAATGAATCTTTACTTACAAACTAACATACCTGAAAAATAGGCTGCGCGCAATATTCGTCATCGTAACAATTAATTAATATATTCAAAAATGGGAGAAACCTCTGCCCAAAATAAATATAACTCACTGACAACTGAATCAATTACTTTAAATGAGCGTTTTCATAATCACATATCACGTTTACAATAAAATGGGACCGGGTTCACTGAACGGTCCCACGCGTTTCAACACGTCCACGGCCCTCACAGCGAAATGGTACTTGTTCCCGTCGGCAAACTGGGTCAACGTACATGCCATGGGCAGAGCGAGGGCTTTTATGTCGCCCACTTTACGCCACATATCGGTACTGGGTGGGGCGCTCGTCTCTTGATAAGCGTACAACTGATAACTGGCGATACTTTCAAAGTTCGCCAGGTTATATGGCATTTTCCACGACAACACTATAGCGTTGCCATTTTTACGAATTTGAAGATGAGGTTTCGGCGGTACAGGCTTTCTTGAAGCTATCGACACTTGAGCCACTGGTGTAGGAGGCAACGGGGCCGGGTGCCGTGCCCCAGAAGCCTTAGCGGACGAATTTTTGGGCGTGGTCGTCGGACGAACCGTCTGCACCGGTCTCACGGACTGCTGTGACCGTGAAGCGGAAGAAGCCGATCTCATCGAAGCCGCCTGACCTATTAGGAAGAAACAAAAGATGTCGAGGTCAACAAGGGAAACTAACCAGCCACAACAAACAACGTTATTCTTTTGCTTTTTAACAGTAGAAATTGATAGGTTATATCAAACAAAAACATGGTTTTGCTCTTGAAAATAAAAATTAGGCAGTTACATCCACGGTACTTTTATTTCTTTTCAACTAAACTTACCAACGAGACCGTTTGTGTTGATTTTCAATAGTGAACCCGATTTGGGAGTGGTGGTGGTGGTAGTTGTGGTAGCTATGATGCCTTGCACGGGGTTGCTGTTGACGACGTACATGAGTCTGGGGGTACCGGGGACCGTCATTCCGGACGCCACCGCTGGTGACACGATGCGATAACTCTTGTTCGGAGTCGTCGTCGTTACGGTGCTGGTGACGGTTTTGACGGGAGCCGCGGACGTTGAACTCTGACTTGTACCGCCATTATTGTTGTTGTTAGTAACTGACGATCTCCTTTTATTATTTGTACCCGCCGCTGCTTTTTTGTCGTCTTCGTCCGTCAGATCTATGTACGATGAGGCGGATGTGGACACGGAGCTATCGGTGACCATGTCCGTTGAAGTGGAGCCGCTTTGAGTGTTCACGGATTCAACGACCCCGTTGGAAACGGCAACAGTATGAAGCACCTGACAAATAAGATGATGATTACTGTATTTACATTTTCTTGATTGCTTAAGTAACTTCTCTTACCGTTTGCTTCGTTGGGGACGTGGCCGTGCCGGTGGACGATGAATTGGTAGCGTTTTGTGTGATCGGAACAACATTTCGGGCGACCTTCCTCCTGCCCGTAAGGATAAAGTTGTCGGGATTGACTTGTAATCCCACGGATCTCGTTATTTTTAGCGGCATGATNACGCAAGCGCATCGCGATGAAGTGCCGCCGTCTTGATTTTAATATACGCAGTAGAATTTCGACATACAAAACCTTATCGGCTAAACAAACAAAGTAAAGTACCTGATAAACCTGTTTCTGGTTTACTTGACATCTTCAGTACCTACATAGATCGATATATACCTATGTCAAAAATACTACAAATCATTATTATTGACGATTTTCGTCGTCTTTTTTTAGAATAATCAATAACAGTAACGAAAACCTGGGGAGGTGAATCGGGAAAATTTTAGGGTTTAATTAAAAATGAAATTCCAAGGAGACATTAAATTTGTTGAGGTCTCCTATTAAGGTGGCTGCAATGGTCATTTACAAGAGTCCCCTTTTTTTCGTAAAAACCTTGTAGGATCAGTTTGGAAATATTTGAAATTTGAATAAACTTTAATCCGGAAGCAGCTACATTTCATCTAAAATTATAACGTTTGTTCAAGATAGAGGTCATGGGTGTTTCATTATATCAGTTTTTGATTATTGGGCGGTGTACATTTATTAAATTGAATATAAATATCGTCCAATGAAGAATAACACAACAAAATAAAGCAGTAGACTTTGCTTAATTTCGTGAAATAAAATCGAATAGCGACGCCATTTTGTTGAGTGAAACGCCGATCCATCTGCCAGGCGTGACCTACACTGCTATACTAAGTAGTCGCAAGCCTACTACGATTACTATTACTCTGCAGAATAAAAATAACGTTTTGGACAAATTCGTATATTATTTTAGAAGAAGAAACGTTGTAATAGTTAAGATCCCCACTGTAAAATATACCACGTTCGTTCCAATTATTATTGCATATGCTATGCATGCTATATGTATAAAACGAATCAAAACAAGGTCAACCTTCTCTCTCCTACGATTAGAGAGGCCCAATAACCGCCTCGCCGTTTTGCTTTTGTTTTAACCAGTAAACTAACAATCGCTTAAATTCAAAAATATATTAATTTTAATTTTCATTATTTTCCATTGATTTGCGACAGGCCTCTAAAGCATCTACCTTCCAATATACACTATGTACATTAATAATAAATGGTTTATTAGGTATAATGTAGACCAAAACGTTGATGGTATAGCCTACTCGCTACTGTACTATAGCCTTCGGTGACGTATCCGTTTCGGAATCATTGACCTTACAAAAAACCAATCCCATCTTGCTAAACTTCTCTTCGTTTTATTATGAATGGGGTTTAATCGTTACTTATTGTTAGCAAAAATTTTGTAACAATAACCACCATATGTAAGAAGGTTTGCATGGACGCCATTTAATTTGCTTATGCTTGTTTTATGATAAACATTATCAGCATCATGTGGTGTTACGTAAGAGTTCAGAAAGCGACCTTTCGCTAGAAAAACAAAATGGCGATCGCTAACCTATTCTCATTATTTTTCATTTTGATTAAAATTTCATTAATGAAACGGTTATACACTTATAACTTAACAAAAACCATATAATTTTAGAAGTAACAGCAAAATAGAATCCAGATAAAATGTCTTATCTAGCCAATTACGTAACGAGTATAAGCAAATGACATTAACCGACAATTGGTGTTATCAAAAAATACTAAATTAAATATGATCAACTCACTGATAATTATTATCTGATCTTTATTCCAGTTGCATTTACCCTTTCGCTACGCCACTGGTTAACGAATAAAAACATTGTGCACACACATACATACATCTAGACCATTAGATACATAGACATGTAAACCTCCTGTTACAAACACAATTGGGACTATTTTAAAATTAATGGAATAACAAAGAAATATTTACGAAAAATCGCAAATTATTAACATGAAACTATTTCAGAAGTCAGATATTTTCTACAAATATTATCTAATACATAAATTTAGGGAGAACGTTTCGTACCTTTTACCACCTTCAATAACTCCCATGCCAAGATTAGGTAAGGATGGCGGGAAAACGGATGATTGACGGATGATATCAATAATAATAACACTATGGTGGATTGTTTGCACATTAATCGGTAATTTGAATCGCGATTAACACTTGTTTTGGGTTAAATTGGTGTTGTTAAGGGGCCTTAAAGTGGAACACGTTCATCAAGCAACTGCCACTGACGAACTCAAGATGGTGACTGCACAGTGAGCATGCGCGGAATTACGATTGTGTGCTGTGTACACGTCACAACTCTCCAACCTTCCAACTCTGTATCCAACAACTTTAATTTTAATTATTTAATTCATTGGGTAATTAATATTATTGTAAATAATGTATCCACCACAAAGGATAAAAGCAAAACAGCAGAATGTAATTATCACAATGCATGATGGTAAGCATTACTTTAAACCATCACTGTACTTAATTTTTAATGTTTTAGGCCCTTCATCTACAACATTAAGTATCCACTCTCTATTTCAATTATACTTCTAAACGAATTGAAAACTGTTTACTTATAAAGTTTTTTATTCGTTATGAATCGTATTTACATATGGTACAATAAAGGTGTACCAGAAATCATATAAGATACTTTTTTACACTGTACTATACATTATAAATATTATTATATTAAAATGTAATTTATAATGGCGTAAAGACTCATGCATGCAAAATTATTAATTACAATCCAATCAGGACATAGTTATGTCAACATATTAGACCAAAAGTTACAAACAATTAAATTTGAGTCTTCCTTTTATTTTGATGCAGTAAAAATCAAAATGGCATCCTGATCTTTTCTTTTGTTATAACAAATGTTTTTGAAAATACGTTTGTTTTTTTAATAAAAGTGGTTTTCATTTAGGAAAAATAGCAATAATTGTTTCAAAAAGGTAATTAATTGTTAAAGAAGTGCATTTCATGTATAATTATTGTTGCAATAATTTTGAAATTATGAATTTATATTTTGACACTCTTGAAAGGGCAAAGTCACACTTATTAAACAGGATAATCAATAGACAGTCTAATAAAATGAAATAACGTTTATATGGTACTTAATAATGTAATACTTTTATTTCTTTACAGAGTGGCATTACTAGTGTTAATTCAATGTTCGAAAGAAGTGGACCTGAAAGAACGGACACTGTGCCAGCTGCTTGACCTTTCTTGGGGTAAGTTTACTTTGTATATTTTTGAATAGACTAGAACGATCTATATAATTTAAAAAGGGTTGGTCGTTAATTGATTTTTAGTAATACATATTTATTGTTTATGGTACAAACATCAATTCTTGAACACAATAACTATGAAAGCTACTCTTTGTGATCTGTACATAATATTTTCTTTATTATATTTACAAAACTAAGGTTAACAGCATTATAATGACTTCAAAGAGCTTATTAAAATTATTTTTTCAGTAACTGTTTTAATATACTGTCTGCCTTTTTCATATCAGCTCTTTGATTCGATTTATTAGCGATTTTGCCTAATAATGCTGCAAAAACCTTTGTCTTTCCAGCCTTATATTGTTTCACAATTTTAGAGTTCTCTTCTATAACTTCGTTACAGAGGGTTTCAAGTTCTTTATTTGTCATCAATGTCCAGTTTTTTTCCTTGATAATCTACAAAAATTAAAATTCGAGTAAGTTACAGTTCAATAATTGTAACGAGAATAAACTTACGGATTTTGGCATTTCTTTGCTTCCATTCAATATTTCTTGAATAACTAATTTTGCTGTGTTTTTGTTTATAATTCTTCCTTGTAACAGTTCTACTATTTCACCAAGATGTTCTCCTCTAAATGGTCTAAAACAAGTATAAAATAAACTGAAAGTTAATTTAACAATTTTATTAATAACGAATTGTCTTACACGTTCTCCAACTCCATTTCATATTTATGAACCAATGATAAGAAATCGTTTATAATAATATTTGCCACAAGACAATAATCAGTTTCTGTATCTTTTGATTTTACTGAAGTAAATAATTCAAGGAGATCATTCTCATTCTGAAAAAGAAAACATAGGTAAATTTAAAAATTTTGGTATTGTGATAATACTAATTAAAGATATGAGTAAGATATTCTGTAGTGCCTGCTATATTGGCTTTTACTTAAAAATTTGAACTTACAACTAAAATAATTGCTTGCACAGGTGTTAAGCCATATTTATCCATTAAGTGTTTCCTTGTCTGGTGGGGCAATTCAGGCAAAGTAACTTTTAATTCTTCAACATTAACACATCCCCTCTGAAGTGAATTTAGCGCTACATACAAGGGTGGAAGATTAGGTTCAGGCATGTAACGATAATCCTTAAATTAGGAAAATAACAATCCATTCATTGTATAGCTAGTTAAACTTCTATTACTTGTTTTTCTTCTTTATCTCGCATTCCAACTGTAGTTTTGTGAACAGCATTCCAGGCTCGTGTCTCATTAGTAACACTCCCTCCTGCATTTATAGTGTCAATTTGTCTTTGTATTTCATATGTAACAGCAGATGCTACTCCCCTGATAGATCCTATATTCTTAATTTCAGTTCTAGTTCCTATAGGTTCTCCCACTCTATTAACAGAAACATTGGCATCGACTCGTAGGGAACCCTCTAAACAATTCTGGTGTCATTTATAGGCTTACCTAAAATCACTAAATGATTTGTTTACCCTCCATTTTACATGAACAAGTGTTCAAACGTTTTAAGATGATCAGTAGTTCTTTAACTAAGGCTGCAGCTTCTTCACCATCTTTTAAATCAGGTTCAAAGACAAGCTCCATGAGCGGTATACCTGCTCTATTTAGATTAACAAGGCTAACATCTTCGGCATGCAGGCTTCTTCCACTGTCTTGTTCCAATTGTAGCTGTTTTAATCTTACTTTTGTTGAATAGGGTATTTTGTGTATACTAGGGTTAAAAACTTGAAATTCTAAATGACCAGATGAGGCCAACGGAAGATGCTGTTGGGTTATTTGATAGCCAGCCTATTAATACAGATTAAACATTACAGACTGTTAGTTATTTATGTGACAAACCTACTGGCAAATCTGAATAGAAATAGTGTTTCCTGTCAAACATTGAAATGGAATTAATTTGGCAGTTCAAAGCCAGCGCTGTTAAAACACCTGCCTTCACACACTGTTTATTAAGCACAGGCAAAGTACCTGGAATTGCGGCATCAAACAGGCTGGTATTTGAATTTACATATCCCGCAAAGTCTGTAGAAGCATCAGAAAACAGTTTGCTCTTAGAATTGATTTGTGCATGGATTTCTAAACCAACTACACTTTGCCATTTTGTTCTAAAAGTTATGGGCTATATTAAATTTAAGAGAAGGTTGTTCGGCTTACTTATTAGTATGAACAAAACAGTACTTTATACATCTTAACAGTTGCCATTTTTTGAATAATTTGCGTTTTATCAACATTTTAAATACTGACGGAGAGGTTATGTTCATTACATGTCAACAACATGCATTCTTATTATTGTTATCCTCTTTTTGGCCTAATTTTGTTACTCATTCAGCCATCCTATTACCTTTGCCTCTAAAAAAAATTAAATTAAATTTTCATCTTTTTTCATCATTTTTACACTATTAATACAGACTTACAATTAATTGATAAGTAGCTTACCTTTTTCTTTTCATTATTAAACATTTCGTCATTAAAAATTTGCTTAAAATAAAACTAAAAGTTTTTAACAATGTGGATTTATTAAAACAATTTATTCAGATCTAAAACATGCCATCGTTAATGCCTATAGGCACAAGAATGGCAAGAAATAAAATAACGTTCCTCAAAAGTTGTCTCCAGTCTGAAGGTACAGCATAAGGAAGCAGAATTTTCGTAAGCCTATGCACCTCATGGGAAGCACAAACATAAATAAAAGACGTTATCATTATATTAAGCATGGGGTATCCGGGTATAAGCACCAAGACTCCATGGGTATCAGCTGCCAACCAAATGTGATACTGACTCACGTACAGCTCTAAATAAATTTCGCCAAACCACGCAAAAAAACTTGAGTATCTTGTCCTCAACATTCCCGAAATGTTCCTAAGGATCACGTACCCTACTATAGGGATAAATACTACATAAGAATGTATTTCACTACAATCAAACTCGTTGTTACACAGGAAAGTGAACATGATATACGACCCGACTCCCATCATTGCGGCTAAAGTTGTGGTCAGTGCTATACCAGGAGAAAACAAATTATTGTGGTTGTTATCGTCAAAAAACCAATATCTTTGTGCGAGGACATACAGGGTTGCAAACACCATACCATACAGTGATGAATATCGATCTAGTTTCCACCGGGACCACCACTCATGAATGTCATCGTCTATGGTCACGAATAAGGCTTTCCACGGCCGGGTTACGAATATCTTTTCAAAAAACACCTCAGACATGAACAGGATCGTGATAACGGCGAAGAAAATCAAAAATTTAATCACCAAGTACAGATATTGAATGGGGTTGTTTTCCGTTGATTGCGCAGTTATTACGGGTGGCAATGCAAGGAAAAGATAGACCATCATGTACCAAAACGAGACCAAAGGCACGAAATTATAAAATTGATAAGGTCTGTTCATGCATAGACAGAGGGTTACGGTGATAAAGTTGAGTTCAAAAAGGGTTTTAAAAAAACCGACCATTCCTACAACGTTGGTTTGCCAGACGTAATAGAATTGTTGATATCCCATCAAAAACAGATAAGCCGACGTCATGACCTTTATGTGCATGTTTATTGGCAAAATTTGACTAGCTCCAGTAACGTGATAAACGAGGACGACCAGCAACATCCATCCTTTCCATTCGTTTATCTGGTCTCGATGGAGTACCTTTGTAAACTTACTGTCTTCAGTAAAGAACAGACCCAAGATGAATATGTAACCGACTGGAAGCCAAAAGCTGAACTCCGAATAATATTTATTCTCTTTCATGAAGAAATTAGTGCGATCGCAAAGAAAAAAATAGCCCATTATTAAGCCGACTTCGGCAAGAGAATAAAAGGGCGTGTGAGAGTCTACAGCTGGAAGATACATGGTGGCATCTTGGTCTAGAAGGAGAGTATATTGCTGCCTCTCTTTTCCTTTTAATCTATTAACTAGCCGACCAATTCCCATTAAGATGGCGATAATATTGCTAAAAGAAGGCAAAGTTTAAAGGCTATCGTTTAATACTTAATGGCCTTACCATACACCGAAACAAATAAACGTTAGAATTTGCAAAGTGGTACTGTTTTCGGGCGAACTGCAACAGGTGCCGTCATTAAAATTCATAAGGTCATTGCAGTACATGTTTAAAAGGATTTGAATGTTATGGTTTAACGCTCTGGTCGCCAAATGAATCCCATCGGGACTTTCACTTATCATCCCTTCACTCACCAGATAAGAGCTACGCCAAACTTTAACTGATGAATAAGTCAAGACCTGAAATATTTTATAAGTNACTCTTTACTTACAAACTAACATACCTGAAAAATAGGCTGCGCGCAATATTCGTCATCGTAACAATTAATTAATATATTCAAAAATGGGAGAAACCTCTGCCCAAAATAAATATAACTCACTGACAACTGAATCAATTACTTAAATGAGCGTTTTCATAATCACATATCACGTTTACAATAAAATGGGACCGGGTTCACTGAACGGTCCCACGCGTTTCAACACGTCCACGGCCCTCACAGCGAAATGGTACTTGTTCCCGTCGGCAAACTGGGTCAACGTACATGCCATGGGCAGAGCGAGGGCTTTTATGTCGCCCACTTTACGCCACATATCGGTACTGGGTGGGGCGCTCGTCTCTTGATAAGCGTACAACTGATAACTGGCGATACTTTCAAAGTTCGCCAGGTTATATGGCATTTTCCACGACAACACTATAGCGTTGCCATTTTTACGAATTTGAAGATGAGGTTTCGGCGGTACAGGCTTTCTTGAAGCTATCGACACTTGAGCCACTGGTGTAGGAGGCAACGGGGCCGGGTGCCGTGCCCCAGAAGCCTTAGCGGACGAATTTTTGGGCGTGGTCGTCGGACGAACCGTCTGCACCGGTCTCACGGACTGCTGTGACCGTGAAGCGGAAGAAGCCGATCTCATCGAAGCCGCCTGACCTATTAGGAAGAAACAAAAGATGTCGAGGTCAACAAGGGAAACTAACCAGCCACAACAAACAACGTTATTCTTTTGCTTTTTAACAGTAGAAATTGATAGGTTATATCAAACAAAAACATGGTTTTGCTCTTGAAAATAAAAATTAGGCAGTTACATCCACGGTACTTTTATTTCTTTTCAACTAAACTTACCAACGAGACCGTTTGTGTTGATTTTCAATAGTGAACCCGATTTGGGAGTGGTGGTGGTGGTAGTTGTGGTAGCTATGATGCCTTGCACGGGGTTGCTGTTGACGACGTACATGAGTCTGGGGGTACCGGGGACCGTCATTCCGGACGCCACCGCTGGTGACACGATGCGATAACTCTTGTTCGGAGTCGTCGTCGTTACGGTGCTGGTGACGGTTTTGACGGGAGCCGCGGACGTTGAACTCTGACTTGTACCGCCATTATTGTTGTTGTTAGTAACTGACGATCTCCTTTTATTATTTGTACCCGCCGCTGCTTTTTTGTCGTCTTCGTCCGTCAGATCTATGTACGATGAGGCGGATGTGGACACGGAGCTATCGGTGACCATGTCCGTTGAAGTGGAGCCGCTTTGAGTGTTCACGGATTCAACGACCCCGTTGGAAACGGCAACAGTATGAAGCACCTGACAAATAAGATGATGATTACTGTATTTACATTTTCTTGATTGCTTAAGTAACTTCTCTTACCGTTTGCTTCGTTGGGGACGTGGCCGTGCCGGTGGACGATGAATTGGTAGCGTTTTGTGTGATCGGAACAACATTTCGGGCGACCTTCCTCCTGCCCGTAAGGATAAAGTTGTCGGGATTGACTTGTAATCCCACGGATCTCGTTATTTTTAGCGGCATGATCGGTTTTTCTCGCTCGTTTCTTACTCGGAAGTCGCTCATCAGACGTGTATTGACGGTTTCCAAATCGCGCGCTTGTTTCGTCAATTGCGTCACTTCCTTCCTCCAATGTTCGATCATTTGTTCTTGGACTTTCAGTTGGTGTCTCAACTCGCCGATCTCGCTCTTGTCCATGACCGCTTCGCACATCTTTTGCAGACACAATTCCTCCAAATTGTTACGGGTGAGTTTCGTCAGCACGTTGCTCTTCATGAATTCGACGAGGCAATTTAACGTTTCGACGTTGTGGGCAAGTTTGTCTTCCTTTTTTGATGTGGTCGTGTCTGTCGATTTAAGTTTGTCATAGTAGTCCTTTTTTTCTAACATTTTTATCCGCTTGGTGGCGCTTTCCATCTCACTATCGGTTGTCGTTTCCGGGAGTGACCGTTTGGCAGATTTCGAAGATTCGTTTTCTATAATTTCGTACAATGACAATGAATAGTTTACTAATACCAAGTAAATGTCAAATCGAACTTACCTTTTGTTTTTGTACTATCTTCTTTTGTTTCATTTGTTAGATCCGTTTGTTTAATTGTTTCACTTGTTTCTTCACTCGCGTTAGTGATTATTATAGTACTTTTTTCGGAACTTGTTACGGTATCGTTCCTTGTTTCCGGTGGTTGTGGACTCACTGTATTTCTTTTATCACTTGTCACTACTTTCTTAATAGTTTCTTGTTCGCTTTCTGTTATTTTGTCGGTTTCCATAAAAAACTTGTCAGTGTCTATTTTCTCTACAGTTTCTTTATCAGTGATTTTTACGTCGCCGGAAGTATCTTCCTGTACCAAAACGTTTTCTTCAATGTCGATGCTATCCATGGCTTCATCCACTTCCGGCCCATCGGCTTCTTCCTCCATTTTCTCGTTATCCATGTCTTCGCATTCTTCTTCATTTTCATCTTTTTCGCTGTTCTCACTTGACGAGGATGGATCTTTTAGCTCCTGAAGAAGATTATTTTCATCTGCAGGTTTTACATCGAAAATATCTAACAAGTTTTCTGTATCATTTGTTTGTCTTTTGAAAATTTCCTTTTGTGCATCTTCTTCACATTTACCTTTTTCTTCTTCTTTGTTGTACGCCGTGGAGCGTTCTTTCTTTTCATTTCCACCATCTTTTTCCCTTTCCCCACTTGTCTTTTTTTCAATGTCGCCGGTTTTTATTGAATCTTCTTGTTGTTCTTTTGCTTTTCCTAACTTTTTTTTTGCTGTTTCCACTTTCTCTTTTACTGTTGCTAGTTCCTCTTTTCCTTCTTCAACTTCTTTTAGCTTTTCTGAACATCCATCATCTTTCGACGTTCCCTCTTCTGCATTGCCAGTTTCTTCTTCCTTTTGGGCTTCATCTTCTACTTCTTTCGATTTATCGGAACTTTCTTCAGTTGTCTTCTCTAATCTTCTCTTGTCGTCATCGCCATTCTTGATTTCGTCTTTATCATCTGTTGACCTTTCTTCATTTTTATCTTCGTCAACGGCTTTGCTTTCGTTCTCGTCAGTATTAGTTTTTGCATCGTTATCACAGCAAGAAGCGATTGTGGTCTTTTCACTTTTTTCTTTATCCAGACATTCGTCAAAGTTGAATTTATTGAGGATTTCGTCCTCGGTTTCTTTAGAAACAGAAGAAGGTAAAATGTCACCATCTTCCGTGTCTAAAACAAAAGTAAAAATGACGCATTCGTGAAGATAAGGCAAAAAAAGAGTAGTTATGTTAGTAGATATTTAATAAATTAACAGTATATACAGGGTGGAAATGAAATATTTATTAAAACTATGATCGATTTTCGGTAACTACACTAACTCGTACAATTTTCGATGGTAACGATGCGGTAATCAATACATTAGCGCATGATCTTTACTCTTTATTAAGGTCAAGGTACTTTTATATAAAAATCAGAAAGTAAGCTTGTATTTTCATTAAATACCTGTATGTTAACAAAAAATATTTTTGATTATCTTTTATTTTACTGCAAAATAAAAATAAGCGACTATTGATGAACACCCTGTATACAACTACATATGTTAATAAGTATTTTTTTCAAAATAAATTCACTCCTATACACCTCCCCGCCACTGTGTTCCAACTGATTACGTCAATACGATTGCTTGATTCCTATTTTCAGGTTTCGCGCCTGCGCGTCACACACCAACGTACGAAACAATGCTGAAAGCTTCAAATTTACTTTACTTATTTGATTATAAAGACAAGTCAAGTCTTCGTCCGTCAGATCTATGTACGATGAGGCGGATGTGGACACGGAGCTATCGGTGACCATGTCCGTTGAAGTGGAGCCGCTTTGAGTGTTCACGGATTCAACGACCCCGTTGGAAACGGCAACAGTATGAAGCACCTGACAAATAAGATGATGATTACTGTATTTACATTTTCTTGATTGCTTAAGTAACTTCTCTTACCGTTTGCTTCGTTGGGGACGTGGCCGTGCCGGTGGACGATGAATTGGTAGCGTTTTGTGTGATCGGAACAACATTTCGGGCGACCTTCCTCCTGCCCGTAAGGATAAAGTTGTCGGGATTGACTTGTAATCCCACGGATCTCGTTATTTTTAGCGGCATGATCGGTTTTTCTCGCTCGTTTCTTACTCGGAAGTCGCTCATCAGACGTGTATTGACGGTTTCCAAATCGCGCGCTTGTTTCGTCAATTGCGTCACTTCCTTCCTCCAATGTTCGATCATTTGTTCTTGGACTTTCAGTTGGTGTCTCAACTCGCCGATCTCGCTCTTGTCCATGACCGCTTCGCACATCTTTTGCAGACACAATTCCTCCAAATTGTTACGGGTGAGTTTCGTCAGCACGTTGCTCTTCATGAATTCGACGAGGCAATTTAACGTTTCGACGTTGTGGGCAAGTTTGTCTTCCTTTTTTGATGTGGTCGTGTCTGTCGATTTAAGTTTGTCATAGTAGTCCTTTTTTTCTAACATTTTTATCCGCTTGGTGGCGCTTTCCATCTCACTATCGGTTGTCGTTTCCGGGAGTGACCGTTTGGCAGATTTCGAAGATTCGTTTTCTATAATTTCGTACAATGACAATGAATAGTTTACTAATACCAAGTAAATGTCAAATCGAACTTACCTTTTGTTTTTGTACTATCTTCTTTTGTTTCATTTGTTAGATCCGTTTGTTTAATTGTTTCACTTGTTTCTTCACTCGCGTTAGTGATTATTATAGTACTTTTTTCGGAACTTGTTACGGTATCGTTCCTTGTTTCCGGTGGTTGTGGACTCACTGTATTTCTTTTATCACTTGTCACTACTTTCTTAATAGTTTCTTGTTCGCTTTCTGTTATTTTGTCGGTTTCCATAAAAAACTTGTCAGTGTCTATTTTCTCTACAGTTTCTTTATCAGTGATTTTTACGTCGCCGGAAGTATCTTCCTGTACCAAAACGTTTTCTTCAATGTCGATGCTATCCATGGCTTCATCCACTTCCGGCCCATCGGCTTCTTCCTCCATTTTCTCGTTATCCATGTCTTCGCATTCTTCTTCATTTTCATCTTTTTCGCTGTTCTCACTTGACGAGGATGGATCTTTTAGCTCCTGAAGAAGATTATTTTCATCTGCAGGTTTTACATCGAAAATATCTAACAAGTTTTCTGTATCATTTGTTTGTCTTTTGAAAATTTCCTTTTGTGCATCTTCTTCACATTTACCTTTTTCTTCTTCTTTGTTGTACGCCGTGGAGCGTTCTTTCTTTTCATTTCCACCATCTTTTTCCCTTTCCCCACTTGTCTTTTTTTCAATGTCGCCGGTTTTTATTGAATCTTCTTGTTGTTCTTTTGCTTTTCCTAACTTTTTTTTTGCTGTTTCCACTTTCTCTTTTACTGTTGCTAGTTCCTCTTTTCCTTCTTCAACTTCTTTTAGCTTTTCTGAACATCCATCATCTTTCGACGTTCCCTCTTCTGCATTGCCAGTTTCTTCTTCCTTTTGGGCTTCATCTTCTACTTCTTTCGATTTATCGGAACTTTCTTCAGTTGTCTTCTCTAATCTTCTCTTGTCGTCATCGCCATTCTTGATTTCGTCTTTATCATCTGTTGACCTTTCTTCATTTTTATCTTCGTCAACGGCTTTGCTTTCGTTCTCGTCAGTATTAGTTTTTGCATCGTTATCACAGCAAGAAGCGATTGTGGTCTTTTCACTTTTTTCTTTATCCAGACATTCGTCAAAGTTGAATTTATTGAGGATTTCGTCCTCGGTTTCTTTAGAAACAGAAGAAGGTAAAATGTCACCATCTTCCGTGTCTAAAACAAAAGTAAAAATGACGCATTCGTGAAGATAAGGCAAAAAAAGAGTAGTTATGTTAGTAGATATTTAATAAATTAACAGTATATACAGGGTGGAAATGAAATATTTATTAAAACTATGATCGATTTTCGGTAACTACACTAACTCGTACAATTTTCGATGGTAACGATGCGGTAATCAATACATTAGCGCATGATCTTTACTCTTTATTAAGGTCAAGGTACTTTTATATAAAAATCAGAAAGTAAGCTTGTATTTTCATTAAATACCTGTATGTTAACAAAAAATATTTTTGATTATCTTTTATTTTACTGCAAAATAAAAATAAGCGACTATTGATGAACACCCTGTATACAACTACATATGTTAATAAGTATTTTTTTCAAAATAAATTCACTCCTATACACCTCCCCGCCACTGTGTTCCAACTGATTACGTCAATACGATTGCTTGATTCCTATTTTCAGGTTTCGCGCCTGCGCGTCACACACCAACGTACGAAACAATGCTGAAAGCTTCAAATTTACTTTACTTATTTGATTATAAAGACAAGTCAATCATACAAATAAAATTTTAATAAATAATTAATAATAAGACCTAAGTTTCCAGCCGTTAATAATTTTGACTATTATTATTGATAAATTACAATAACTCTTTTCTCATAACTGAATAGCAATTATTAATTATTTTCATCCCCACGATTTCTACTTAACGGAATTATTATCAAGGGGAGTTTTAACACGCCATAGGCGGCTCGTTAAATCACGACACATATTTACATTTAAACAATCAACAAAAAAATGAGGTTGCAGTCATTTCCTATCCTTTATCAACCCCCGCATATAGGTACCATAGAAATTAAGTAAAAAACAAATATTTCTACCATAGTATTGTAAACGTAATATAGTAGGTACCTAGCAATGAAATACAAGTACAAATGGTATGTCGATTATTATTTTAAACGATAAAAAGAAAAGTTTGAAAACCCCCCCTTTTATGTAGAAATCTTAACCTCAAATCAAACAGAATCACACTGTCAAATTTTGTTTGTTTTTTTAACAGTCAAATAACAAAAAATTATTTATTGTTTTTCTTACTATGGCAGTCTTCGTCGTCAGAGAGTCGCAGCTGGAAATTTTCGTCTGATGATGGAGGGTCGTCCTCGGAACCAACGGAATTCGGTGAATAAAATTTCATTTCCTTTGTGGAAGCCATAGAAGGCAAGGCGGTTTTCAAAGCCATTCTACGATGTAGCTTATCAATTAAACCTAGAAAGCCTTAGCAGCAAACCAAAACCATTACTGACCTGAAAAGCACATATCTATTATTATATATTTTATATTGCTGTTTGTAACTGCGGTAACAGAAACCTTCATTTGTCCAATGTTTTTGAAAAATCAACTTGGCCTCTTGCTAGACTGAAGGTTTTCATGGCCACCTCGATAAACCCCGCGTTAAAAACCTAACCACAAAATAACCCTTGAAATATATAGACAGACGAGAGATAGAGAATTTGTTCTACAATTCAATAAAATAGTAATAATAAAGTACTTTGGACATAATACAAATTGGGGTACATACTTGAAGGCCGTGGAAAAACCCACGATCACTAGATATTATAGGTGTTACAACACGCTCTCGCACACATACACTGGCCCCTACCAATACCAACAAATCGAATACACTACAACCTTACACGTATATGCAGCCGTCACTGTTTACTACGCAAGCGCATCCCGATGAAGTGCCGCCGTCTTGATTTTAATATACGCAGTAGAATTTCGACATACAAAACCTTATCAGCTAAACAAACAAAGTAAAGTACCTGATAAACCTGTTTCTGGTTTACTTGACATCTTCAGTACCTACATAGATCGATATATACCTATGTCAAAAATACTACAAATCATTATTATTGACGATTTTCGTCGTCTTTTTTTAGAATAATCAATAACAGTAACGAAAACCTGGGGAGGTGAATCGGGAAAATTTTAGGGTTTAATTAAAAATGAAATTCCAAGGAGACATTAAATTTGTTGAGGTCTCCTATTAAGGTGGCTGCAATGGTCATTTACAAGAGTCCCCTTTTTTTCGTAAAAACCTTGTAGGATCAGTTTGGAAATATTTGAAATTTGAATAAACTTTAATCCGGAAGCAGCTACATTTCATCTAAAATTATAACGTTTGTTCAAGATAGAGGTCATGGGTGTTTCATTATATCAGTTTTTGATTATTGGGCGGTGTACATTTATTAAATTGAATATAAATATCGTCCAATGAAGAATAACACAACAAAATAAAGCAGTAGACTTTGCTTAATTTCGTGAAATAAAATCGAATAGCGACGCCATTTTGTTGAGTGAAACGCCGATCCATCTGCCAGGCGTGACCTACACTGCTATACTAAGTAGTCGCAAGCCTACTACGATTACTATTACTCTGCAGAATAAAAATAACGTTTTGGACAAATTCGTATATTATTTTAGAAGAAGAAACGTTGTAATAGTTAAGATCCCCACTGTAAAATATACCACGTTCGTTCCAATTATTATTGCATATGCTATGCATGCTATATGTATAAAACGAATCAAAACAAGGTCAACCTTCTCTCTCCTACGATTAGAGAGGCCCAATAACCGCCTCGCCGTTTTGCTTTTGTTTTAACCAGTAAACTAACAATCGCTTAAATTCAAAAATATATTAATTTTAATTTTCATTATTTTCCATTGATTTGCGACAGGCCTCTAAAGCATCTACCTTCCAATATACACTATGTACATTAATAATAAATGGTTTATTAGGTATAATGTAGACCAAAACGTTGATGGTATAGCCTACTCGCTACTGTACTATAGCCTTCGGTGACGTATCCGTTTCGGAATCATTGACCTTACAAAAAACCAATCCCATCTTGCTAAACTTCTCTTCGTTTTATTATGAATGGGGTTTAATCGTTACTTATTGTTAGCAAAAATTTTGTAACAATAACCACCATATGTAAGAAGGTTTGCATGGACGCCATTTAATTTGCTTATGCTTGTTTTATGATAAACATTATCAGCATCATGTGGTGTTACGTAAGAGTTCAGAAAGCGACCTTTCGCTAGAAAAACAAAATGGCGATCGCTAACCTATTCTCATTATTTTTCATTTTGATTAAAATTTCATTAATGAAACGGTTATACACTTATAACTTAACAAAAACCATATAATTTTAGAAGTAACAGCAAAATAGAATCCAGATAAAATGTCTTATCTAGCCAATTACGTAACGAGTATAAGCAAATGACATTAACCGACAATTGGTGTTATCAAAAAATACTAAATTAAATATGATCAACTCACTGATAATTATTATCTGATCTTTATTCCAGTTGCATTTACCCTTTCGCTACGCCACTGGTTAACGAATAAAAACATTGTGCACACACATACATACATCTAGACCATTAGATACATAGACATGTAAACCTCCTGTTACAAACACAATTGGGACTATTTTAAAATTAATGGAATAACAAAGAAATATTTACGAAAAATCGCAAATTATTAACATGAAACTATTTCAGAAGTCAGATATTTTCTACAAATATTATCTAATACATAAATTTAGGGAGAACGTTTCGTACCTTTTACCACCTTCAATAACTCCCATGCCAAGATTAGGTAAGGATGGCGGGAAAACGGATGATTGACGGATGATATCAATAATAATAACACTATGGTGGATTGTTTGCACATTAATCGGTAATTTGAATCGCGATTAACACTTGTTTTGGGTTAAATTGGTGTTGTTAAGGGGCCTTAAAGTGGAACACGTTCATCAAGCAACTGCCACTGACGAACTCAAGATGGTGACTGCACAGTGAGCATGCGCGGAATTACGATTGTGTGCTGTGTACACGTCACAACTCTCCAACCTTCCAACTCTGTATCCAACAACTTTAATTTTAATTATTTAATTCATTGGGTAATTAATATTATTGTAAATAATGTATCCACCACAAAGGATAAAAGCAAAACAGCAGAATGTAATTATCACAATGCATGATGGTAAGCATTACTTTAAACCATCACTGTACTTAATTTTTAATGTTTTAGGCCCTTCATCTACAACATTAAGTATCCACTCTCTATTTCAATTATACTTCTAAACGAATTGAAAACTGTTTACTTATAAAGTTTTTTATTCGTTATGAATCGTATTTACATATGGTACAATAAAGGTGTACCAGAAATCATATAAGATACTTTTTTACACTGTACTATACATTATAAATATTATTCTTCA